CCCTTCCGTTCTCCAGGCCGCGCCATCCATCATGCAGATCGCCTTCATCTTCTGGCTTCCCGAGAGCCCTAGATGGCTCATCTCTCGCGGTCGCGGCGACGAGGCCTTCGCCATTCTTGCCAAGTACCACGCCGAGGGCGATATGGACTCCGAGTTCGTGAAGGCCGAGTACGCCCAGATCGAGCAGACCCTCAAGCTGGAAGTAGAGAGCAGCCGAACTAGCTGGGGCGACTTGGTGAAGACGCCTGGTATGAGGAGACGTGTGCTTGTTGGCGCTTTCTTGGGTTTGGCGACGCAGTGGAGTGGAAACGGTCTTACCTCGTGAGTTGTGTCCTTGTTTAGACGAGGGAGAATGACGACTGACGCCAGACGCGTAGGTACTACCTCGCCCGTGTTCTTGAGACCGTCGGCATCACAGACAACTCGACCAGGAACAAGATCAATCTTGCGCAGACTTGCTGGGGCTTCATCAACGCTACTTTCTTCGCCTTGACTGCCTCGCGATTCCCGAGACGATGGGTGTACTTGGTACGTTACTCATGTCTTCTCTGAGGATTCGCTCGCTGACTCAGTTCACGGGTAATAGACATGCACGATCTCCATGACTGTGGTGTTCACCGCCTGGACGGTCGCCAGCGCGAGGTTTACGGAGGACGGGAGCAATGGCGCCTCCGTTGCCGTTGTGTTCTTCATCTTCCTTTACAGCCCGATGTACAACGTTGGATACAACGCGTTGACCTACAGTATGTATTGAAGCTGAACGACTGGGACGTTTGCTGACTCCTGCGATTTCTAGCTTTCCTCGTCGAGCTCTTCCCGTTCCACGTCCGTGCTAAGGGGATCTCCGTGTTCCAGTGGTTCTCCCGTGCCGCTGGTTTCTTCAACCAGTTCGTCAACCCTATCGGTATGAAGGAGGCTGGTACGTGTCATATCATAGAGCACGATGTACTCGATACTTACACGTCATTCTTTCAGGCTGGAAGTACTACATCAGGTCGGCTTATACTACGTTCTGAGTAGCATCGATGCAGACTTGCTTACATTGTATCCAACAGCTACTGCATCTTCCTGCTCTTTGAGGTCATTTTCGTGTACTTCCTCTTCCCCGAGACGTCCGGACGAACACTCGAGGAGCTTGCTTTCCGTACGTCCCTATCATGTCTCTGTATCACTCACCAATGTCTAACCCATCCTCGCTCAAAGTGTACGAGGGCAAGGAAAGAGAAGAGCAGCAGAAGCGTGTCCAGGAGGAGCTCCACGCGGAAGGAGATGGGAAGGATTCCCACTCAGACCGCCCCAGGGTCGTCTGACCAATCGCTTCGATTTGCATCTCTCGAGCATCTCTTTTCCTCTGTGTACGCTTTCATGTTGTCAGGTGCCCGCGAGCGCAATGCTAGATACTTTATAAAAATATCACGATGCACATGATTAGTCTACGCTAGTGCTACGCTTTCCTCTGTAAGATACGAGAATATCAGCTTCAATGGCTTTTTGCGTCTAGTGAAATACGGGCAGTCGCGAGTGTGTAGCGATCAGGCCATCAGCTTTCTTCTTGATCTGTACCTTCACCACACGCAATTTCAAGCTCATTTCAACGTATAGTTGTGGGATTCTCGTACGAAGCAACCAGGCTAAGATAATCGGTAGTGATGGAACCTTCGCAGGTCAGACCAGTTTCAACCTCTTCACGAGGCCTCGCTCGGACTTCCATGCCAGATTCAACCTTTAGGTCGCCTCTATACGCAAGGCAGTTCGCGTTATACTAGACTGCTACTCCATCCAACCATCTCAACTCCAATCCAACGAAAACCACGTCGATTTCTGTGCACCACTGCTGGAAGAAGCCGCCAGGCGCGGCTACACGAAGGAGGCATTGGAGAAACCTTTGCAGGCCGGTGCACTCATGGCGACGACAGCATTCTCGCACATCACAGATGAGAAGACGCGGGTTTTCATCGGACTGCTGTCTGGGATCACCATCTACGTGGACAACGCGTACGAGCACGACGTGAGCGGAATCCGCAGCTTCACAGCCAACATGCTCCATGGCAAACCGGTGGATGGCTCGGGCAGTGGCCTGCAGCTGTTCGCAGATCTGATTCGGGAGGTGGCATGTTACTTTGCGGAAGGTGCAGCGTCGGGCATGATTCAGACTAGTGCACTTGACTTCGTGGCCAGCACTATACTGGAGTACGATATACGCGAGGACGCGGTACGTTCATGACGTTCTCAGAAAATGCTAGCTTGAAGTTGTTTGCTGATACCGAACTAGTCCTCAGCCGAAGCATCGACCGATTTCGCTCAGCATCTGAGAACTATGACCAGCATGTCGAGAGGGTTCGCGATCATGGGCTTTGGTCCTGACACGCCGCTCTCGTCGTACATACAGGCGCTCACCGATGTGCAGCTGGTCACTCAGAACACGAAGTAAGCAGTCACATTTGCTTGAACGTCAAAAGTCGAATTTGTCTGACGCGAGCTGTGCAGCGACGTTCTTTCTTTCTACAAGGAGGAGCTCGAAGAAGATTCAGTCAACATGGTCTCGCTTCGAGCTACTCAAGCAGGATCCACCAAACTGGAAGAGCTAGACAAGATCGTCTCGGAGACTGTCAAAGCACATCGCAGGGTGTTGGCCGTCCTGTCATTGAAGTCGACATTGCTTGTCAGTTCATACCTGGCTTACATACGTGGCTGGGTGCTGTTCCATCTCATGTTGGACACTCGGTATAAGCTCAGTCAGGTTGACCTTTGGGGTTCTGCGTAGTGGGTATGAACGGTGCCTGATGGGCACGCAAGTGTATAATCTTTTGTCGAGACAGCTGAACTAATTATTGAATATACCAATAAAACCCTAGTAAAATTTCCTCGCGATGCAATATCACTTCCAGGCGATGTTAGAAGAAACCGAACCCATCATGTTCAAACCCATTGTCTATTAGACAACGAGAAACGGCTCAGACACGTTGGATGTGACTAAGGTATATTAGTATCTACCTATTAGACAACGAGAAACGGCTAAAGGATAATAAGATACTGATATATGGGGGAACGGAGACAAAAACATACCTCAGACACATTGGATGTGACTGAGGAAAGAGAAAAGCAAACGAGCTAAACATGAACATGTGGGCATGAAAGTATGACTAAGCTAATAATGGGTAACGCGCCTGTGGCGGGCTACCTCCAATATTGTCCTCTTCGCCAGCAGCAGCAGCCGCGCTTGAAGCAGACCCTCCATCCCCACCAGCGGCCGCAGACCCAGCAGCGCTTCCTCCACCGGCTGCCGCAGCGCCTGAAGCAGAACCTCCGTTGCCTCCAGCAGAAGCAGCTCCAGCAGCACTTCCTCCTTCTCCAGCAGCTGTGGCAGCAGCAGCGGAACTGGGATGATACTCAGGGATAGGGTGATATTCAGGCTTCTTCTTGGTGGCAGCAGCAGCAGTTGCGGCAGCGGGTGCCGCAATGGGCACTGGAGCAGTGACAGGGGCAACCGCCTTAGGGGCAACTGAGACCAAAGCGGGTTTAGCAACAGGCTTGGGGTGATAGATGTTATGATATCTAATTAGTGTAGAAGTAATGAGTGTTACAATACATAGTGTACTTAGCCTTGTAGAGTAGATGTAGCGGCAGTGGATGGCTGAAGAGTGGCGCGCGTTGATGGTGGCGGCCCACGCGTTGAGCACGTGCGCGGGTTACGTGTCGCCAACCATCACGTGATGTTGCTCTTTAGTTTTATCCACTTCGTTACTAGGTACGCATGCACACGGCCTCATTGTGCTCATTATTCATCTTTGTTACTAGACTACTTGGCGTGCTGCCTTGCAGATCATCCCCGGGGTCTTACAATGAGGCGGCAGAGCTGGATGGTGGCACAGGTTTGGTTGTGTTTGGCTCTTCAAGAAAGAGTCAATGCAATCAGACGTGGCTGCTCTCCAGATTTGTCCACTTTGTTACTAGACTATTACGTGTGCTGCCTTGCAGACCACTGTCCAAGTCTCACAATAGACTGGCTTGGGGTGGTACATCAGCTTGGGCTGGGGCTTGAACTTTGGCTTATGTGCCTGAACAAGCAAATTATAGGTTAGCAAACAGCTGGATACAAGACATGGAGCACGCTAATGGATGTACAGGCTTGACCTTCTGCTTAGGCTTGTAGACAGGCTTGCTGTACACCTTCTTCAGCTTCTTGGGTGCCATGGGCAAGACCTTCTTAGGAGCAAATGGTG